GGCGCACGCGGCCCAGGCCCGGCGGCGGCGCGGCCAGCAGGCCCAGCGGCATGATGGAGGCGGCCGCCAGCAGGTCCACGACGCACAGGTGCACCAGGTAGAGCGCGTCGCGCAGTCCCGGCGTGCGCAGCACCACGACCAGCAGCGCACCGTTGCCCAGCAGTGCTGCTGCCTCCACGATGGCCGCCAGGATCAACCCCACCGAGCCCGCGACTTCTGAGGTGTTCGGCCCTGTGGTGTTGGCCATTCGAGCGCTTCAGGCCTCACCCTGCGCTGGGCTGCAGAGAGCGGAACGGAGCATCTCTCCCCACCCCCCACCCCCCTTCCCATCACCTGTCCCTTGCTCCTCTGGCCCTTCGCCTCCGAGGCTGCCCTGGCGCCGGCTCCGTTGCCCAGGCTGCCATCCTGTCACAGGGGCTTGGCCGGCCCCATGGAGAGGTGCAAGGCTGTGACTTCAGCTCTCTTCTCTGCCCGGGCAACTCAGCCTCTGCTGGAGATGGTACCGGCTGACACTCTGATGTTGCCCTTTAGAGACACACAGAGCTGGCAAGGGAGGAGCAGGGCCTGGCACCAGCCCCCTGGGTCCTAGCAGCTGCCGGCTGCCGGCTGGAGGCTGTGCTGGGGACGGGCTGCGGGTGCCTCTGGAGGGAGGCCCAGAGCAGGCGCAGGCTGGAGTCTAGACTGAGGACATCAGAATGTGGGCTTTGGAGTCAGCCCGACCCTGCTCTGCCTTTCCCTGGGGCGGGAAGTAGCCCCCCACATGCTCTCCCCTCTCATCTCCATTAGTGGGGGTAATCAGATCATTCAGCCTTTGTCCTGAGGGGAAACTGAGGTACCAGTGATACAAGAGCTGGAGCAGCGAGGGCTCCAGGACGGCTAGTTCTCTCAGACGAGGCTAGGTAAGGTGAGGGGAAAATCATAGGACTTGGCGCTTAGTAGGCTCTCAACCGGGCTTAGCTTGGCACAGAATAGGTGCTTCATGATAGTGTGTAGAATTAATGAGAGGAGGCCTTGGGGAAACTGCTGTTTTTGTTTGATTTTGTTAAAGATGTTATTGATTTATTTGAGAGAGAGCTTGAACATGAGGTGGGGGAGC